GCCATAGCTGCCCGCAGGAAACATCTTCAGACCGGCTTTCAATTGGAGACGATCACTACTGGACACATGTCTTTGCAGGGGACTTAAGCAAATAATAGAGGTCCTCCTTTCGGTTTAGGAGAAGGGCCCCTGGGCTTCTCGCCTGAAACATCTCACCGGCATGCCACCCTTGGAAAGCTGAACATGTGTCCTTGGATGGGTACCCTTTTAAGGGGTGGTTTCAAGGGAAGCCGACACATTTTGACTCATACCCATATCCCTTTTTGTATCGAGTCACAGCCTTTCTCCGGCAATCTTGGACGTGGAATACAAGCTTTCCAGGAAAAAGCTGACTGGTGTGAAACTCTCCGATCATGCAACCTGCCATGAAGGGGCATCACCCGCCGTTGTTCTCCCATCCACACATCTGGAATCTGATTGGGCGGTTTTGGTTTATATAGGGTGCGCTTTTAATGTAGGCTTAAAAGACGAGTTTAATCAGTATTTCTGGCCCCGGATGTCATGTTCATGAGGAGTGTCCTGATGGACGAACGAAGGTGAGGAAAGGGGGTGCTTATCAATTCCCATTGTCTCCTCTCTATCAGTGACGAGATGAATTTTAAGGGTAACACATCATCCTGAAATCGAGGGGCATGTCGTATGTTGTCTTTGTGAGAATCCTTTGTCTCTGAAAGGCCAAAAAGTAAAACCAAACACGTAACCACCATCCCAAAAAGCAACATGCCAGTCAATTTTGCTTATAGGTGTTCTTCCTCGTTCCTTCCCTTCTATCCCTCTCCCTATCTCTCCCATCAATGATTAATCTGGGAGTTGATGAGGAGATGACGCACTCGGAAAGGGATAGAGAAAGATGGTCCATTATTTGTGATCGTACTTATCCTATTATTCTCATGTTGAAACAATACACATATATATATATATATGTATACACATATACACATGTATATATACATGATTTGGGAAGGTGTTTTTTGCGGGCACACGTTTTTGGCGAACCAACAGGAAAGCTGCCCACGTTGCGGCCCTCCCTAAAACAAGACACATGTTGTATGACGGAGGTCATGTCGCCGGGCGTTCTTTGGGGTCCGCTGAAAACTCGCGGGCTCCGCTCGCTGACTTCGCGAGGAGGCCCGGCGAGAGGGCAACATCAGCAGCTTCAACGCGCGCTGCGGCCCCGGGCTGTGGCACGACCTCCAGTCGGAGCCCCAGAGCAACGGCCACTCGCGGGAGCAAGGGCACGGGCCGAAAGAAGGCGCCATGGGTCCGTGGAACCCAAAAAACGCTAAGACTCTCCCCCTCCAAAGGAGATTCCTCTTAGAAACGATATGGCTCTTGGGATTGCGTGGCAATCTGTACATCCACTCAGTCTTGTGGTTCGGGGGAGTGCTTTTTGGCGTCATTCGAACTTTCCAAGCTCGCTGGTTCGGGCTCTGAGTTTTAGGGCAAGGGGACCCCCCACACGGTTGGCATCTTTGAGGGAACCCCTCCCCCCAATTTGTTGGGTGCCGTATCTCAGACACCCCCCATTGGGACCGATATTGACAATTGACGGAAGGGCGTGCTTATCCCTCACCCTGTTGACGTGTCTTCTGCGGCTTGTCCCAAAGTGCAGGAGCTCAATCATTCTCCCATGCTCTCTTGTTGCGAGAGTTGTCCTTACACCCTTTTGCGTGGTTCATGCGAGTCAGCGTGTTGACAGCAGCAGACACCATTTGGCTGTGGCTCAAAAATAGGGCCCTCCCCAACCGCGAGGGAGAGCAACAACTTGGTTTTCTGGAATCGAAGGAAGCATTCCCGAAAGCTCTGTACCTTTCCTGGAATGAATAAATCCTGGAAAGGTCACTGGATTCCAATGTTCCGTTCTGCCCCCAACTATCCATGGGACACATTTCCCATTTAGTGGCTAAAAATATCATCGTTGAAATATGATCTCATTTATTTTCCAAGCAATGGTCACCCTATGTTCATCGGACCTTTCGATCAACCCCCAATTCTAAAAGGATGAAGGCAAGGGGAAGCCTGAACAACAGATCCACGCAACTCTAGGAAGCCAAAATGCAGGAGGCCAATGTGAAGGAAGCCAACATGAAGCCCCCACCACTTGCCCCTCGGACCTCCATTCCCAGGGTGGAGCGCCAGAGCTTTCCCCTGGACGGCGACGCGGAGCGCCTGGACCGCGAGCTTGCGGACCTGGACATGCTGCCACCTGGACTCGACCATAAGGCTGTTGCTCCACTTCCACTTGCTGAAATGTTTTTTTTTTTTTTTTCCCCTGGTTGGTTCTAAAGGGAATCTATCACTGGAATTTGCCGATTTTTTCCCCCCTTGTTTCCACAAAGCTTCGGTTCTTCTTTTTTCCCCAACAGCTGAAAGCTCTGGGGTCTCAGCCCAGATAGGCTCCGGGGTGGTCCGGGGCGGCCCTGAGGTAGGGTTCCACCAGGGTTCCACCAGGGTTCCACCAGGGTTCCACCAGGGTTCCACCAGGGTTCCACCAGGGTTCCACCAGGGTTCCACCAGGGTTCCACCAGGGTTCCACCAGGGTTCCACCAGGGTTCCACCAGGGTTCCACCAGGGTTCCACCAGATTCTGCGAGGGCTGCTGGGTGGTGCGAGCCCTAAAAAGAGCACCGCATGCTGTTGGGGACATCACCTGAGCTTATTTCCCTTTGGTTGTAAAGGGAATCGATTTCACTGCTGGACATATTGGCATGTTTTCCCGGCGGCTTAATCAAATGGAAGTATAGTTTAGTTGTCTGACAATTTTCAGTTGTTTACAAGCCTGTTAAAATATGACATGGCCTATTGCCGTGTTTAGTCACCGCGTGAAAGGTTGTCAAATTACCGGGTGTAGTTGGTTGTATGACCAAAATGTTCATGTTAACCAGCTGGTTGGAAGGGAGCCATGGAGCTAGGTATATCCAAATCCCACAATTCGGTGGGGGTTTGTGTCTACATCTTTTGAGCCACGATGATAAGTTCGGCAGCAGGAACCGGATCGTCGCTGAAGTTGCTTTCAGTTTGCGTGGGATACCAACTGCAACTCGGTTGTTTGGCGTAACTATCAACCCACAATCCTAAACTTGCCCAAACCCCCTAATCCAGCCCCACCCAAAACCAACCCACCCTAAACCAAAACTAAGGCCACCCGATACCAATCTTAAACCAACCCTAAACCCACGCGCCCCCGCAGCACGTGCCGCAATCACAGGGGTTGTGCAGACCTGGTCATAGAATATATCTATATACATATATATACATATATCTACATGTGCGTCCATGAACTTCATCCTTGCTTTCGGAATTTTTCCGTTGCCGAAGCTGCGGGGCTGGTTGGTGCATGGGTGCGAGGTCATTCTCGACGGCAAAGGTTTGAACCATGGTCAAACTGCCCCTTAGCTTTCTGACAAGAGAGGACATATGTCATCCGCCCGCACACAACTGCCAGAATTCATCGCCCGATTCGCTGTTGATTGGCATGCTGGTAGTCTAGATCTTCACGGGTATCAAGATTCGTTCCTTCGTTTCGTCTATGACCAGAAGAGGGCATTTGTTTGAGGGCGCGGGGATGCGATCGACAAAAACATCAGAGGACATGTTGCAGCCAAGGGCTCCAAGGACCCTCAACCTTAGACACACAGGTTGCAAAATAATGTTAACCCCGGACTAATAAACCCCTGGTTGATTCATAGGGGGGTGTCCCGTTTAGTGGGGATTCATGACTTTTGGAGGGAGCCCCCCCCTAATAATGGGGCGGGTTTATTAATCCTGGGTCAACATTAGATCAACCCTGGACACACAGGTTGCAAATTAGTGGTGGTTTGGTGGTGGTTTGGGGATTGAGGGGTTCTTGTAGATGGTTTTTTGTGGTTTGGGGGCTTGGTGGCTCTAGACCGGTCTCCATCAGAGGGTGTTTTCAGTTGGGGGCAACTTTCTGGACTCAAGGCCCGTGGAGGACGAGGGCTTAGACCAGGCCGGGTGAGTCACCAGAGCTTGCCTTGATTCAACAGATTTGGGTGCATTTTTGTCAGGACCTCCCATTGTTGGTTTGCTTTAAAGGGAAACCAAGGGGAAAACCGTCCATTTTAGGGGTCGAGACACATCTATCCCGCACCTGCCCAGGAGGAGGAGGATGAAGGCATTCCGGTGCCTGATCAAGGACAGAAGACCTGGGGGTTGCGGCTTCTTATCCAGCCGGCCATATCTGCTCGTGCAGCCTAGACCCTGCTGCGAGCTTGTTTCATGAACCGCGCAGTCAACGTACTTGATGTGGGGTGAGGTGATCATTGTTCTGCTCCGTTTCCAGCATCTACCCAACAGTGGTGTTTGATTTGTGTTTGGGTTTCGGGCGTTTGAAGAACTTTGGCATCACGCATTGCAATCCATTTCGAGCGTTCTGCGGGCTCCGTTTGAGTTGGCTACGAATGCGTTCCATGCCGCCAGGACAGAGGGTGGGGCTACCGGCCCCCGGTATGGACAAGATCCCCTCCTTGCACAAGATGGACGCCATCAATGTCTCCGATCACCATTGAGCGCGGCCAGCGGGCCGCAGGTGTTTCGACAGCTCGCTCCATTTCACCTCAAAAAGAGGGCTTGGCAGCTCTTGCGCTGGAAGGTCTGAATAGATTCGCAACGCCCCTCATTGCTTCCTCGGCATGACTTTGTGATGTTGGCCGTTTCATAAAGATTGGCATGGGATGGCTGAGTGCTCGTAGCTATTGAACAGGGCATGAGCAAATACGGCCTGAGAGTCCCACCTGATCTGCCCACTTGCAGCTGTCATTGGACTGAGCGGGCCCTGAGTTTCAAGCCTTTGTGGTAAATCTCTCATCCCCGGTCTGAAGGTTCGTCCGGGGGCTGTCATGGGACCTGATCAATTCTGGCGAAACAGGCCGAGCTCCACTTTAAACGGTACCAGGATTCGGGTTTGGTGAGGTTTGCCCTTGACTTCACCAGCACAGAACTACTCAATGAGAACATGCAGATGAAACGCCCCACGCGCAGGAGTGCAGCCATGCTCGAGGACAAGGCCAGAATTTTCGTTTGCGGTGCGTTCAGAGGAGACGGTCGGGTGCGCTGTCAGAGTTCCGGCCGATGCCGATTCACAACTGTATTGTTTCGTTTCAACCTCTGGCTGGGTTCGGTGAACTGCACATTTTCCGCGTTCTGTTTTTCGATGGCTTTTTCTTCAACATATTTTTGGACCAAATCCTGCACCAGTTGGCAGACGTTTTATCCTATTCAGAATCTTGCTGGTGCATGACCCAGGGTGTTGGGCATGAACCTAGGGATTCCCTTCAAGGAAACAAAAGGGGATGGTTTAGGGGGGTCATTCCCTCATCCCCTGCTGAGAACCAGCAAGGAATTGCTTTTGTTGTTTTTTGGGGGGTCGATTGAAACCGCCGTTTAGAGTCGGCGATTTTGAGGATTTCTCACCTTCCCACGACACAGGACATCCGGCGCATAATGGCCGACGTGGAGCGGCGCGCGTGGGCCTTTGGATGTGGGGCTGGAGGTGACCGTTGGCAAGTCTTTAGGTGTTTAGTTGTTTGGTTCTGTTCATTTTTAAGGGGGCTACAATAGATCTTACCGATGGCTAATTGGTAACGGATCTTTGGACTTTTCTTTTGGGTTGAAACTTTACGGCTTTTCCGGATTGGACTACAACAAATTAAGCTTTTTGCATTGGGGTCAACAGCAACCAAGCATCTGCCGCTTTTCAGCCAAACTTATGGCTTTCCATTGAGCCTGTAGAAGGTAGTCGGCCTTGTGCGCAGGCTTGGAGCAGCCCAATGGCGATCTGTGGGGGGTGAGGCGAGCTTACCATGTTACATCATGTTGACTCAAGGACGCCTTGTTTGGAACTTGAGTAGCATCTGGCCATTTGGTCGGCCAAACATGGGTTCCGGGAAGCGAGCCCCCAACTTAAAGTCAGGGGAACGGTGAAGCTTCGAACAACTTGGTGTCTCTGTCAGAAGTCACCGGCAACCACCCATGATGGTGGACACAGCTCCCTTGGGGTTGATCAGAGGTGGCCAGCAACCTTCAATTCCTGAAAACAGTTCTTGCAAGAGGTTGGTAGGAAACCACCCCCCCAGAGCGCCTTCCAAATCACCGTGACGAAGGATTTATCAGCCACCGGAGTTTCGACCTGTTTGGTTCCCAGTGGTCAACCCCCAGAAAGAAAGGGTTCCCTGCTTTTTCAAGGAAACACGGTTGGGCAATCAGGAGTCATTGCAGTACATGTGACTAGGGATTTAATAGGGAACCACCTCCCAAGTGGTTGGTGGACATTGGGATGAACTTGGGCAAACACTCTGGGTTTGCCTTACAAAGGCAACGCTTCTTTTCGGCTTCCCTTCAAAACATATGCCAAACAGGCCATCCCCCAAAAAGAAAGGGAACACTCATCCACACGCCCCTACGGCTGTGTGCCTCGAAACGAGCACGTGAGGGCGCCGGCGCATCCTCGCTTGAGGTCCTGAGGCCTGCGGGCCTCAAGAGCCAAGCGCTGAGCCAATTGCCAAGCGAGCAGATTTCAAGGTGACCCCAAGGAGTTTAGAGCCACCATTCCCGGTTATTGTCAGCAGTACTGTGTACGTCAGGGAGTGGCTCAAGCCCTTGGGAATCGCGCAAGTTCTCAGGGTTTGGGATGTAGGGGTTCAGGCTTTGGGGCTTGGAGCCTCATCTCGGACACCCCTAAACCCGATTGCCCCCGTCGGGTGGATGGGTGCAGTCGGCGTCCAGCACCTTGCTGCTGACTGTTCAAGTGCCTCCAAAGTCAGCAAGCCTCCCGCGATTGGGCTAGTATGTCAAGTAGAAGACTAGGCGGGAAGCTGGGCTAGACTCAGAAATTTGGGTGATGATTTCTTGCTAGGGCTGGGCCCCTGAAAGTCCACATGTTGAAGGGTGTTGAAGTTCCAGTTTGATTACTTTTCCTTTTTTTTTGCAACACCATAACTCAAGTTAGGAGGTGGCTCCCCGAAAACCAGCATTCAGAGTGTGTTTTGGAGGGTGTCCACTTCCCATGGACAGCAGGTTGTCTCCTTCTCCCAGGCCGCGCGCTGGAGGGACGGCGGAACAGGAAGTGACGGAGAAAATGGGCGGCGGGCCATGGGAGGGGCTGAGGCAACGGATGGCGTTCCGTTTTTGGGGTTACGGGCCAAACTGGATGGCTACCGTTCGTTTTTTTTTTCCCCCTACCTTTGGAACCAGCTTGAAAAGGGCTCAAAGAAGCAGATCCAGGAGAAGGGGGGGGTGTTTTGACGCATTCCCATCTGGCCAAGAGCCACTCTTGCTGGAGGTTTGAGCCCTTCCAGGGCAATGAATGACTTCGGATTCATCCAGAGAACGAGTGGCGATCCGAGGAATAGCCTGAAACCAATCAAAGCCCCACTCAAAACGGCCCTGAGACGTGCGGTGTCCTCATGAATCCGAGGTTCACATTTGAAAAAAAAAAAAAACAGAGGCTTGCATCTTTCTTCGCCCAGCGAGCCCGGCTCGGCCAGCACATGGCATGCATCATGCGATGCGAGGGCGGCCCATCGAAGCGGGCAATCAGAGGGTCGACCAACTGCGAGTTTCCAGTGGCGGACTTCTGACGAGCGACTGCTTGTTGACCAAGCGCCAGCGGCATACTTGAGAACCGAATCACACGTGGAAACGGATGCTTGTAAGCTTGCAACTTGTGCGCCCGTCAGTAAGATCATTGAGGCATGTGGGTTATGAGCCCTGTAGCTGCAAAGAGACCGAACTGCTGCTGTCGCCATGTTCTGACTCGGACCATGGCGTGTGGAGCGATCACTTGCGAGCCATGGACGCACTGAAGCAGGGGCCGACCTGTTTGCCAGCTCCGTCGCTTCGGGTTATTGCAAGCAAAACTAAGGGAATCAGGGAATGTGGGTCAGACGCAGAAGACTTGCTTCCAACTTGCATAGGGAATCGGCCCCAACGGGCTGCGCCTTGAGATCCGAATGAATTCTGCCCGCTTGGCTGGTTAGGATCCAGCTGGTGAGCGGACGGCCCATTTCGCCCCAGAAAACCGAGCCGAGCTTGGGAGGTCAACCGGCCAAAGGATGCGCGTGCCAGGTCATTGATCCGTGACAGGCTGGACGGGCTGGAGGGACTTGGTCGATTTCGGCGGAGTTTCCCTCTCTGGACTTCCAAAAGTGGCAGACTTCCGCAAGTCATCTGCTTGCAGCCCTTGTGATTGTCCGACTCTCCGGCTGATCACACAAATGCAGGTGTGGCCTTGGGCCGTTTTGAACTTTTGTCGGCTCATGTCGAGGCATAAACGCAGGGAGCTCCCCTCACTTTGGCCGGAAACTGCGGAGGCTGCGGGGCAACCCAACAGCTGCGCGGCTACTTGAGGAGAGGCGGGGATCCAAGAGCCTTTTTGGTCAACATCGGGGCTCTTTCCGTTGCCTCAACGCTATTTGTGCTCCACCTAGGTGTGACACAGCGAAGTCCGGTTTTGACCAATGTTGTTTTGACCTCCCTGCCTGAAGTCCTTGAACTTCACTGCCAACATTTTGGAGGCCCTTGCGCTTTTCCTCTCGACATGAACACATCATGGACTCTCGTGTTGTTCCAGTTGTCTGGCCTGTAGAATTGAATAAACGATGAGGCAAGCCATTCATTTGTCGGTCTACCATGGCCCTCCCTTCCAAATTACAGTAGCACAGGGGCCCTCGAGTCTCGATTTGTCCTACGCTCGCCCTGGTCTGTAGTTTTAAAGGTTTCAGCACATCGGCTATATCAATGTGGGAACATGCAAGGGAGATATGGTTTGGACTCTGCTACCCATGCAACGGCCCTCGGCTTTTGAGCCCGAATTCATGGCCGAAGCTTACGGCTGGCAGATGGGCCGCGGAACCTGCGAACCTGCGGGCTTTTGGATGGTTGCCGATTTGTCGTCAGAAAAGAACATCGCTCCCAAACACCCCAAGACCATTTTCCAACCCCAGATTTGTTTTCTGGAGGGCATCTCCTCAAAAGGGCAAAAACAAGCATGTCCAGGGGGACCCCAAACTGGTAAGTCCCACCATGTCTAGAGGAACCCCAAAATGTGAAGGTTATCTTTGGTGTCCCAACAGTCTTTTTTCTTGAAAGGAAGCCGAGGAATCCGAGACAGCCAGCGAGTGACCGAGCGAGCGAGCCAGGCCGGAGCTGCAGGAGGACCCCGCGGCGCTGCTGGGGCTGTTAGAGGCCGCAAGCGGGGGGTGGGGGGCTTGGGGTTAGGGGGGGGGCTTGGGGGGTGTGGCTGGTTGGGGGGGAGGCGTGGGTTTGGGGGGTGCGGGGGTGGGTGGTGGAGCAGTGAACAGTGGGAGGCGTTTTCTTTTTGCAACTCCGGCGAGTTGCATGATGTTTGATCAGCATGTTGGGGTATTTGGGAGGAACCGGGGTCAGCAGTGTAGGGTAAAGGGCCAGAAGGACATGTTTGCATTGCCCAAAACCCCCCTTTTCGTAGGCAGTTCTACTAGCAGCTCAAGGTGGCTATAGCTTTGCCTGTGCAAACCTTTGAACCATCTTGGAACCAAAGGTCCGTGAGTTTGGGCGCAGCTCATTTGGACCGTTTCATGGGCTGCCGGGAGAGGGAAAAGGCCGGGGTGCCGGGGTTCAAAGACCAAATGTCTATTTCAGCTTCGGAGCAGGAGGTTCACAGGTAGCTCCTGAGCAAACCGGAGAAACGCCCACATACAGTTGTGCAAAAGGTTTCCTGAGGAGACGACTTCCAGAGAACAGGGTTAATTGGGTTTGTCTCAAAATAGGGGCCCTTTACTACCACACGCCTCAAAGTGCGACCATTTGATTGTCACAGCTGTTTTCCATGCCAATCTGATAAGGAGCATTTGTTGTTTGATTCCATGTTACATCTTGTTCCTCTACACATGGGCGGTTTTAAGAGTTGCGGGAGAAAGGAGAGGGGTTTTGAGGAGCAGGGGGTGATCGAAGAGATCTACGCGCAGCTGGAGTGCAGCCGCCGGCCAAGACTAACAAAATGCGCAAGGGCCATATCCGCGAGACGATTACTTGCCTTTTGTATAGCTTGTTGCCCCTTTTGCAGGGGTCACCGGATTTCAAAAGTTGCAATTTACTGGTGGGTGTCATTGGAACTGCCGCTTCTGGAGGTTCCAAAAAGGGAAATTGCAGATGCTGTAGACGGACAAAATTCGCCTCGCACCAGTTGGGATGGATGAAGCCTTATGAATACTGGGATAACCCTCCAATCGCAAGTGGTGCAAAGTGGATTTTGTCCACAGGTGTCCTGTTGGGTCGTTTTGGTTTGTGATAGATGGAATTCTGTGTGTTTCAGTTTGGTTCTTGCCATTCACCAGTGTCATCGTTTTTTTTTTGAAAAAGGACGGAGTGGCATCGCTCAGGTTTGCAGAAGCCCCTGGCAGGATCCCCAGAGCTCGGCTTCGGCCAAATTCAGCGAGCGAAGGATTGGCTGCCCACAAGCAGCGTGTCTCTGTGGGGACCCCCCCCCACAATCGGTGGTTTCCATTCTAGTTCTTAACGAAACCGGAGAAGGGCACCCTCACCAAAAAGCACCAACATCCGATTCCGACGGAACAGGTGTGTCGTTTTTCTGAGGGAGCCCCCTTGTGATGGGGTTTCAACAAGGAGAACTCCAAGGAAACCGCGAATTTTGCGGATGTCGCCTAACCGCCCAGGAGCCGAGCCCGGTGGTGCAGCCTGCGCCAGACGCGAGATTCGAGGCGAGCACAGAGAGCGCGCGTGTCTTTTGCCGTGGGATCGATGCGAGGTTTTACAAAGCCAAGTACCCTCCTACCATGGTTGTTGTTGGGAAGCATTTTACAGTTTCGCTTATTGTGGTTTAGTTGGAAATCCCCACTTAACTGCTATTTTTTTTTTTGCTCCCCTTCCAACGTCAACGAAGCTACCAATGAACATCTTACCTCTTAACAACACAACTTTTCAACTTTTTGGGTAACATGAGCTATACGTCTGTAACAGATTAACTTCCCCAGGGCAAGGAGTTTTAAGGGGTAAGACATGGAACCTGACGTTCGAGTCCAGAACAATCTAGTTTTCTTTTGCTTGGAACTTGGCAGGTTCCATGCTAAGTGGGAGGGCAAGTAGATTCAGGTAACGCTTTTAAGAGAATGAGGTGAGGTGACCCACACAACAATTGCAAAAGTTTATTCTGCCCGTGGTTTTTCAGAGGGCTTACTTGGAACAATTGTTGCCCATGGGGCAGCCAACCCTGTGCCATACTTAACGAGAACACTGGCCATTCATTGGAAGCCAAGATGCAACCAATCGATTGGCAGGTCTCTGGTTTTCAGACATTCCGCCAACGCAAACGTGGCCCGAACAACTTGACACACCAAGTTTCTCACCAACATCGATGCAACACCATTGCAACTCAGCTCATGCAGACATGAGCATCACAGCAGCTCATGAGGGCACAAGCTATAGCTCGTCCACAGACCCACATTGTTTGGGCTTGACGCCTCGGGGTTTGGCAATTTGGGCGTGCTGAGACCCAGCTATATATTGGTGAAAAGGCAGGGTTTTTGCAGACTGGAGCAGCATGCTTGGCTTTCATCTTGAAGATTCGAAGGATTCATTGCAGGGGTCCCTGACACCGTTGCAACCCCAAGAAGGCTGTGGTTTTTCTGCCAGGGTCACTGGGCGATTGGTTTGTTTCGCGGGACTAGGCACTGCCCACTTCCACGAGCTCGTCCACGGGCATAGCATGGAGGGTTTGACTCAGTCTCAACCAGACCGTGGCCGAACTCTGCACCGTAGGCCGGCGATGGGCCTGCGTGGGTGCCTCAGGGTGAGATATGGGCGTATCCTGAAATGGGACAGGGGTATTCATCAAGGGTCAAGGTGTACTGGTTTTCCTTCAAGACCCACCCCAAGCCCACGTGTTGCGGCCGGAAGATCAATCCACATCAGCAATTGGGCAGCTGACTCAGGTTCCACGTATGGCCAAGAGGTTGCAACATTTGCTTACGTTCACACAACTAAAAGGAATATCCAAAATGCGCCGTGGTATGGGGCCTTGCCAGATGCCAGTACTTGCCTCGGCCAAGGCGCCAGACCGGCGCTCTCCTCCTCCTCTTTTTTTTTTGGGCAGAATCCGAACATCTCTCATGTTCGGCCCATTGCCCCCATCCCCACCCCCATCCCCACCCCCCCTCACCCCCACGCCAAGCAAAAGCTTGGTCCGAGTCGGCCGAGCTGAGGCCGGGCTGGCAGCTTTGCCTGCGCCTCGTGGAAGGCAGAAGGGGGAAAGGGCAGAAAGGAATCGAAGGCGAAGCAAGATTGCAAGACGCTCTGTGTAGATAGGTTTGTATGTGAATACGTATAATATATTTAACATTGAATATGTATTTAATATACACACATATAACTACTAACATACACATGTATGTATATATATATATAACATATACATATACTGTATGCATGCATATATACTATGCATGTACACGTCTATCTACTGTATGGGATCCCCCTGCGCAAGTAACGGAAAGGGGTGGACTTCTTTGTCGGAAAGCAGGCTGACTAGCGGCCAAGCCTTTTGCCTTCCTTTGTGGCAAAAACCGAGCTCGTGGACGCCAAAACAAGACCTCGCATTCCTAGACGCGGGATTGATCATAGGCAGCCTGCAAACTAATCATATCACCACATTACATGTTGTGCGGCTTCTTTGCCAAGCAAAGGCGCCGCCTTCCCGGAAAGTCGGAGAGTTTGTTTGCCTCTGTTGGCTTGTGCAGGTCAGGCCTTCCTGGACTACCTGGAGGATGCCGATTCCGCAGGCGCTCAGTGCATCACTGCGTTAACTTTTTGGGTCAGCTTAGGTGGTTCTATGTTTGATCGGGGTTATGACCTCTTCGGTAGTTCTACTACCCGCGTTTTGTTCTTTACCTGGCGGTTCTACTCCAAAGGTTTGTGCAAAGCCTATAAAGACCTTTGGGGGCGCTGACAGTTGGATCGCCATAAGGAAGTTGTCAAAACTAGGAACCCATCAAGGAATGGGTGCGGCCTGCGGTGGCTTTCTGTTTGGGTTCTATGTCAATTTCTCAGGGGGCGCCGTATTTGGATGTTTTTTTGCTTTGGGTGCCTTTTGTTTCCCTTCACCATGCATGTTTCTTAAGAACTCACCCAAAAAGGGGTCCGTGGATGATTTCAGAACCCCCTGGTGTTCAAGCTACTTAGAAAAATAGCTAATCCCGAACCCGTGGCTATGGGCGCACCATTTTGAGTAACCCCGAGCTCAGCCCCCCATTTGCAGGGTTTCTACAAACAAAATGCAGGCTTTGGCCCATTTGGCGCGGCCGTTTCGCTGGCCGCGTCTTAGCGGTTCCTTGCTGGTGCTCAGTAGGGACTGAGTAGGGACTGACCTTCCGGGTTTTGGGAATGAACCTAGAGATTTCCCTGAAAGGAAGCCAAATCGGGGATGGTTCATCTCGGAGTCATTCCCTTTCCAAGTATGTTGAGAAACCCACCCCCGGTTTGCCCTCTGCAGATGGGGCAGGGAGCCTATAGAACCAGCAAGTTTTCTTATTGGTGCTCAGCAGGGAATGAGAGAATGACCCTCCAACTGGTGTTTTCCTTTTAGGGGCAATTCTGGGTTCATTCCATTTGGCTATGGGTCAAAAATATGTACCAACATGGAACCTTGGCAAATGGCAAATGGCACCAAAGACTCAAACCTGAGTAACCCCGGCTGTTTCATTTTGAGCCACACCCATTTCCCCCATCCAGCTGTTATATTTTTTTGGGGGGGATTTTTGTGGGTTGGGTTCCTTCCATGTCTCATTCCCTTTGTTCACCAAGTCGAGGCCGGGAGATGGTGTGGCACCTGGCCTTCGGGCGCCAGCGCTGGCGGAGCCGCGCCGTGCCCTGCGCCGTGGCGCCGCGCTTCGACGAGGCGCGGAGCGAACGGGAGCATCGGCGCGAGGAGAACGGTGTTTTTTTGTTTTTTTTGTTTTGTTTTGTTTTGTTTTTTTGGATTACCTGTTTTGATATATGCCCATATATTATAATATGGGTCAGCCAAAGGAAAAAGAAGGGGAACCTGTTTTGATATATGGGTATGGGTCAAAATTAAAACACCAGGGGACCGCAGGTTTTAGTCCTTGGTTCCATTTACCAGGGCAAGCCATTTGGGGCACCCATTTTTGACCCACAGCCATATACCCATATATTGTAACATGGGTCAGCCAAAGGAAAAAGAAGGGGACCCCACGACCCCGATCTAATTCTTTATGTTAGCGGTCCTCATATTTTGGGACCCAGCCGCTCACAGTGGGATTTTGGCGTGTGCATGAGACCAGAGCACCACATGTCCGAACAGCCTGAGCGACCATCACCTTCGGCAATGACGAGCTTGGTTGTATTGGCCCGAAGGGTCTATCACAAGCTGTGGCAAAGCAGCGTCCATATTGCACAAGGGACCAATGTTGTGTGGACCTATGTTGTGTAAAGAGCATATACGGTTTGGGAATGAAATCATGGAGCTCCAACCTGGCTATGGGGTGGGGGATTTCCCCTACCGGCCAGAGAGGCTTATCTTTATCCCGGGATGGCGGCGTGTGGAGACTTCTTTCCTTTGCAGGAACCTCCCTGCCCGCTGTGAAGAGGGTACCCCGAATTGGGGGTTTGGGGATTTGACTCCCTTGCACTGGGTTGATAGAACCTAAGCTCCAAAACCATCCAAAGCATCAATTCAGGCTCAGCTGATGTCTTGGTTGGCCGGCCGCTCCCCTGCAGTCAGCTGGAACCCCAAGAGCCATCACTTGTAAAGGAGTCCCTCCGTTCTGGGTTCCATGACAAGTGAGAGGGGGGAGGGTGTTGAGAGGGTTTTGTCAGGGGGGGAGCTTATGGAACATTGGGTTTTCCAACATTATGATGACCAATGTTCTTATTTCAATACAGATGCTGGATGCTACAGACAAATGATGAACACTGGTTCCCTTCCATTCGCTTTGGCCACCGTTGCCCGACAGGCATGGCTGCGGATGTCTAAGAAAGGGCAACCCTTTGCCAGTTGCCTACTGCAAGCGTGAGGCGATGTTTCTCAAGCTTCCCTCGTGCGCCTCACGCAACGGAGACGTGGCATCAAGAAAATCAGATGACTCGATTTCCTTTGTACAGGCAGGTCCAGAGGAGTCGTGGCCCGGCAAGTTGCATCGATGTTTCATTTCAAAATGGTGAGCCCCTTTTTGGGTGGTTTTACAAAAAGGGAAACGACAAGGAAACAACCCATTTTGCGGTCCCGCCATTTTAGAAACACCCATTTGCATGGGGCATGGGCATGTCAAAAGTGAATGCTTGCTGCGAATGATGCGAGTCGCATGTCGCCCCGCCTTGGGAACACAGTGTAGGGCATGTCTCCTCGGTGTCTTAAGCGCACAGCCTTTTTGGGAACGTGCTTGTTGTTTTGCTCGGTCGGACACCTGCCTAGCTGATGATGGAGGAAAATTCAACCATGTACCAACCATTTGGAGGTCCTAGCTGGGTGAAGAGATGAGCTTCCATTCGTGGACAAGCAGGCTCCTAGTTTTGATAGATGGCTCCCCAAGAGTTGGACACTTTGGTGTCTTTGCTCAGAGAGTCTCCGGAATTTGGAGCAGCTCCGGGGCTCCGGGATCTTGCACTGCTGTTGGAGATACTGCCTGGGACGCACGAAGCCCGCACAGATATATATATATATATCTATTTTTTGAGTGACTTCCTTGAGGTGGATGTTGGGGGTGGCTTTTTCCCCACTTATGCCAGAGACTGTCCTTGCTGAGGACTGCTGCAGCACTCCTCCCCGGCGGTGCTTGCCTGTTCGGACGTGCGGGGCAGACGTTGATGCTGGATGGCCTTCGAACGAGCCAGAAAGCAGAAATCCATTGGCTCGGTTTCCTTTGTTGTCCCTTGCAAGTGTCACCAGGGTAGAGACTTGGTGAACCCTTTCCTTGGGTTTGGGAGGTGGATGCTCTGTCCATTGTCACACGAGATACCGACCGTCTCGCGCCAGCTTGAGCTTTGCTTTTTAGCCGGCACTTTCTTCCGGGCCTTGTGGAATCTCTGTTAGATGTACGACTTTTTAGCAGGAAGGTTTTGAAGAAGTTTGGTTCAGCTTGGTTCTCCAGCTTTGGCAGGTCCACTTGGTGCTCGTGTCCTATGGAGGTAGCCAGGGATTCCCAGTGTCACGCCGAGCAGCGCGTGTCAGGTCGCGAGACGCCTGCAAATGGGCCGCTTTACCATCAGATGTTTGGATGAGATTTGTGTGTCAACACTCGGGGATCAAAGCACTTAGGTCAAATTAATGTGGAAGCCTATAGTGAGTCATGTGTGTGCCCTTACATGAACTACACATGGATTCAACTTCCCATTTTGATCTGCAGGCCATTTGGGTTGTGTCAAATGGGGATGGCCCCCCAAAGGCTTTCCTTTGGAATGTTCTTGAAACCAACCTGAAAAGGGTACCCTCAAAAAAGGTGAGACACCCACGAACCAACAAGCAGGGACCGCAAGATGAACTTGCAACAAGGAAGGGTTCCATGTTATGAAGGGATCCATAAAAGACGGACTTAAGCCGAACCTTTCCACATGAATCATATTTGGGCCTTTTGTTCGGTTTGCTCAGAGAGAAGCCAAAAAGAACATGTTTGGGAGGTCATCCCGATTTGACACATCCAGTTTGACAATCTCAGTCCACCGCACCGATCCATCGCCCGCTCAGGTGGCAGCGGCGAGGAGCCGCCATGGGATGTGGGCCAAGGCGTAAACGTCGCGCTCGCGATCATGGGCGGAAATCAGGAAGCCGACGTGTCAACATGACATGAGCCTTTGCTGGAACCGGGCCATGCACCCTATGCACGGCGATGCACCGCAGGCACCGTGATCTCGAGCCACCTCCTCGAGTGGCTGGGGACCCGAGCGGTTTCCAGCCATCCGGTTCCTTGATTTTTTTTGTTCTTTTTCTTTTGTTTTCTCTTTTTTTTCCGGTTTTTTTCGTTGGTTTAGTGGTGTGGGTTCCATTTTTTCACCTGCTAAGAGTGAGTCACAATCTGCAGGGCATCTGCGTGGACAGCGTTCGGCTATCATGTTCAAACATGACCTCTTTTTCCAAAGCTCCGATGTAGTACCCGAGCCACGTCTCACTCCTTGAGTTCCTGGACTTGAAGCTTTTGGGAAGACCTAGCGGTTGTCGAAAAGTGCAGACTATTTTTGGGAAGTGAGACGTGTGGTATCCCCAGCCGGTGTTCACGATGCACTACATCCCAGAAGCTGTTGGCTTTGAACTGCACCGCAATCCAACGTGTTGCACTATTTGCATTCTCTTTACTTATGCTGCACGCGCCATATGACACCACAGCCACTTGCAGTCACGTCACACCGCAGTTGCATGGCACCACAGTCGCATGACGCCATCTATCATAGCAACGTTGCGTCGGGCCACATTGCTCCAGACATGTGAACATGCCAGCCACATGTCATTGCGTAAATTCGTGCGAGCAAATTTTATGCACGAGTCCAAATGTAAGATCTGGCGGTGCAAATTCCTACCATGGGGCATCCGCGTCCGAAGAATTACCTCTGCTCTGAGTGTGGAGTGTTGAGTCATCACTACGCACTGTGCCGCTGCCGTGATACTGCTCCTTTGGCTCCCAACTTTCCTACATTCACCCACGGTGAGCCCCTGAGTTGACATGATCTCGCAACGGCTGAGGCGGCATTGCCTGAGTACCCCTGGTCCCCTGAAGATGACGGTTGAGCTGCAGGCTCCGCACTTAGCCTGGGAAAGACTTAATGCACAGACATGGCCCTGTGGCACTGCTCTCTTGCGCATCTCTGCCTTGGCCCAAAGAAGAGACCTCTAAATTGGGAGGACACTGTGGAGTAGTCAATTCAAGCGTCCGGACAAGAGTCATGCAGATCTTTGTGAAGACGCTGACTGGCAAGACCATCACCCTTGATGTGGAGGCCAGCGACACCATCGACAACGTGAAGGCCAAGATCCAGGATAAGGAGGGCATCCCGCCTGACCAGCAGCGGTTGATCTTCGCTGGCAAGCAGCTCGAAGACGGCCGCACGCTCTCGGACTATAACATTCAGAAGGAATCCACCCTTCACTTGGTGCTGCGCTTGCGAGGTGGCATGCAGATCTTTGTGAAGACGCTGACTGGCAAGACCATCACCCTTGATGTGGAGGCCAGCGACACCATCGACAACGTGAAGGCCAAGATCCAGGATAAGGAGGGCATCCCGCCTGACCAGCAGCGGTTGATCTTCGCTGGCAAGCAGCTCGAAGACGGCCGCACGCTCTCGGATTATAACATTCAGAAGGAATCCACCCTTCACTTGGTGCTGCGCTTGCGAGGTGGCATGCAGATCTTTGTGAAGACGCTGACTGGCAAGACCATCACCCTTGATGTGGAGGCCAGCGACACCATCGACAACGTGAAGGCCAAGATCCAGGATAAGGAGGGCATCCCGCCTGACCAGCAGCGGTTGATCTTTCGCTGGCAAGCAGCTCGAAGACGGCCGCACGCTCTCGGATTATAACATTCAGAAGGAATCCACCCTTCACTTGGTGCTGCGCTTGCGAGGTGGCATGCAGATCAGAAGGTGCTTCACTTTGCTGCGCTTGCGAGGTGGCATGCAGATCTTTGTGAAGACGCTGACTGGCAAGACCATCACCCTTGATGTGGAGGCCAGCGACACCATCGACAACGTGAAGGCCAAGATCCAGGATAAGGAGGGCATCCCGCCTGACCAGCAGCGGTTGATCTTCGCTGGCAAGCAGCTCGAAGACGGCCGCACGCTCTCGGATTATAACATTCAGAAGGAATCCACCCTTCACTTGGTGCTGCGCTTGCGAGGTGGCATGCAGATCTTTGTGAAGACGCTGACTGGCAAGACCATCACCCTTGATGTGGAGGCCAGCGACACCATCGACAACGTGAAGGCCAAGATCCAGGATAAGGAGGGCATCCCGCCTGACCAGCAGCGGTTGATCTTCGCTGGCAAGCAGCTCGAAGACGGCCGCACGCTCTCGGATTATAACATTCAGAAGGAATCCACCCTTCACTTGGTGCTGCGCTTGCGAGGTGGCATGCAGATCTTTGTGAAGACGCTGACTGGCAAGACCATCACCCTTGATGTGGAGGCCAGCGACACCATCGACAACGTGAAGGCCAAGATCCAGGATAAGGAGGGCATCCCGCCTGACCAGCAGCGGTTGATCTTCGCTGGCAAGCAGCTCGAAGACGGCCGCACGCTCTCGGATTATAACATTCAGAAGGAATCCACCCTTCACTTGGTGCTGCGCTTGCGAGGTGGCATGCAGATCTTTGTGAAGACACTGACTGGCAAGACCATCACCCTTGATGTGGAGGCCAGCGACACCATCGACAACGTGAAGGCCAAGATCCAGGATAAGGAGGGCATCCCGCCTGACCAGCAGCGGTTGATCTTTCGCTGGCAAGCAGCTCGAGACGGCCGCACGCTCTCGGATTATAACATTCAGAAGGAATCCACCCTTCACTTGGTGCTGCGCTTGCGAGGTGGCATGCAGATCTTTGTGAAGACGCTGACTGGCAAGACCATCACCCTTGATGTGGAGGCCAGCGACACCATCGACAACGTGAAGGCCAAGATCCAGGATAAGGAGGGCATCCCGCCTGACCAGCAGCGGTTGATCTTCGCTGGCAAGCAGCTCGAAGACGGCCGCACGCTCTCGGATTATAACATTCAGAAGGAATCCACCCTTCACTTGGTGCTGCGCTTGCGAGGTGGCATGCAGATCTTTGTGAAGACGCTGACTGGCAAGACCATCACCCTTGATGTGGAGGCCAGCGACACCATCGACAACGTGAAGGCCAAGATCCAGGATAAGGAGGGCATCCCGCCTGACCAGCAGCGGTTGATCTTCGCTGGCAAGCAGCTCGAAGACGGCCGCACGCTCTCGGATTATAACATTCAGAAGGAATCCACCCTTCACTTGGTGCTGCGCTTGCGCTGAGACTGACCCTCGTAAGTTCGTTGCTTCCCTTCTTGCGGTGGCTTTGTTTTGAAGTGCCAAATTATAAAGTGTGAACCGCTCCTTGCATTAATAATGAGAGGTGTTAAGAATATTCGGACTTATGTCACTCTGTTATAACGTGTCTGCCTGTTTGGGTCGAGAGTGGTGAGCCCAGTTGTTACAATTAAACTCCTATGCCATGGAAGCACCCTGTCATTTGGCTTCTTTAGGACATGTACCGGGACTCCATTTACTAAACTGATGGTAGTTCGATTGCGGTGCTTCAAGTGATTGTAAAAAGCCACGGCATACGGTGCCCCTTTTGGAGACCCCCTCTTGGGGTTGTAAAGGGAGATCGACACGAAAACAATCACTTTGGGGTCCCCTAATGTTTGATAGAAACCAAAGTGTGTGAGCCGTCCTTTTTCATTCCTTCAAGTTGAACAACTCTAAGCATAATTTGAGTTCGAGCGGGGTTCTCAATCGTGAAAGCGATTGAACGGACATCCAAGAAGGGACCGGCAGACTCGGTTTTGTTTGTGCAATGCACGTGTCATTTGGAGGGGGCGGAAATCTCTCGTCTAGAGCAGCACGTGCTGTGGAATGGCCCCTCTGCATTGGCGATGTACAGCGAGCCTTGCACAATGCTTCGGCCAAAAACATCGTCGCTCTGCTTGATTGGCATTTGACTTAAGAGACCTTTGTGGGCCTGATCTGTGAATCACGACCAAGAAGCATGGCAAGCGGGGGCTGCTCAGAATGGCGGCCTTGCCGGTTGGGAAGAGCTTGGATGAATCCGTCTTGGCCTCAACGGTTGGTTCCCTTCATACTTGGACCATGACTTTTCGCATGTTTCCAGTCATACTCGGGGCTTGATTGCCGCATGCGACGCAGGAGGCTCCAGTTCCAACTGTACGCGTAAATCCAGAGCAGCCGCCAAAAAATGAGGGTTAGCTTAGCGGGCATTGATTTCACAACTGTTCGCCCACCCACATGTCAAGAGCAGGCTGAAGGAAACCCGCATGCGAGAAGAATGATCGCCAATATGGAAATCAATCCTCTACCAAATATCATGGACAACGTGGAGGTTGCCAAAGATAGGGTTGCATCTTGTCAACCTGCCACACAACAACTTCCATTCATAGCAGGGATGCCAGTCGCTTGTTCCCAAGCATTGAATTCGAGCGCCTCCTCTCCTCAACGCCAAGGGTGGCCAAGGGCAGCTCCTTGACTTGCCACTCGTTGGGAACGGCAAACATACCAAGCCGCCATGATCGTGGCCAATGAGGGTAGCGTACATTTTTCTCCATCGAGCTTAACAAATGGCTGTGGGTCAAAACCAATGGTACCATTTTGGGGTAGGTGAATTCACCACCCATTTTAGAACCTAGTTTAGGGGGGATTGGGATGTTCACTGGGGGGTAACCGGGATTTTGAGCCATGGCCAAATAGTGCACGGGGTAACTACAATCAAACTGAAACGAACACCTTGCCGTTTGGGACAGCCGAAAGGGCCCCTTTCGAAAGTGCCTGCCTCGATTCGGAATCGTGCGTTCATTGGGGATGGGGACGCAGAGCAAGTCCTTGCAAGAAAGGAAGACGCACTGCGATACTCGAAAAGAGGAGTATTCCAAAAGACAAGTTGGTTCAAAACCTTCCCCGGTCCGGACCATAGGTGTCCGTTTTGATCGGTTGAACTCGGAAACAAAGGGGTTTTAGACTGGCTTGGATGGGTTTTCTGGTTTTATGCCATCCATGTACCAGTTTAGGACACCTCCACAGGTGTCCTTTCTTGTGGTTTTGGTTAAACAACATGGATGGCGATTCCTGGTTTGCCTGGTGGTTTCGTCTACCAGGGCCTCCGGCCCGGAGAGATCGGCTCAGGGCGTGGGGCGCCGGCACCAGCTCTCCGTGGGGGTTCTGCACTTGGAGCTGGAGCCGGGGCCTCGGCATGGAGAGGTTCGACGAGACGTGGCCTGGGCCTGGCGAGGTGCCGGATCGTGCCCGTCTCGACCGTTTCTTTTTCGGGGGGAGACTACAGAAAGAAGAGGACCTACTGGAGGACCTAGGTGGGGAGCTTGAATATGGCTGTGGTCAAAACCGTGTTGGGATCCCATTTTGGTTGGTAGGTGAATTCACCACCCATTTTAGAACCTAGTTTAGTGGGGATCGGGATGTCCACTGGGGGGTAACCGGGATTTTGACCCATGGCCACATCAACTACCGAAAACGAGGGGGCTGTTCAAAGGCAATTTGCAAATGATCCTTGCCTTGAGTTGCGAAAGTGGTCCCCTTAGTGGTTTCGCAATAGGGATTATGGATTGGGGTTTCTCCACCACTCCATTTTGAGCAGCCCAGGAGAAAGAGGGGCACCCTGAAGGTCAGGTAGAACACGTCAGGGCAGTAAAGGTCGTTTTCAGATCTGTGGCTGACTTTGTTTACACGATCATAGGGTTGCAAACCAAAAGGAAGCCACTCCAAACAGCTGGGGCCCGGTCCTCCATTTTGACACATGCCGTCCTGAGGACATGTTGGAGGAAAGCGGTCTCCGGTTTCAAGGGGTGAAGAGGCTGGTTGCCTCTCACCGATACGGGAACTAATAGCCAGTCCCAAAACCGTGTCAAGGGAGTTACTACTCAACTTGAATGCCGAAACAGGGAACACTCAGTTTGATTCCTGGTTCGAAGTCGGGTGAACAAAATCACAAGGCTCAGTTCCGGGCTGAATTTGTGGTTCACCCGGAGCATCGTCCGCTTGGCTTCCTCGGGTTGCTTGGGTTTTCGTCTTTTTGGGTCTGCGATGTGTTCTTCGCAGGTTGGGCTTCTGAGCCCAGTTTCTTGAGTTGGTTGAAGCATCACCTTTTGGGCTCGTTTAAGGGGAGTTTCCCTAGGGGTGATGCTTGGGGAAACCTCGCAGATAGGCTTGGGACCGTCCCAGGCTGCGCCCGCAGGGCGGCGAGCTGCTCCCGCAAATGGCGGCTGGGGGGCCCACAAGTATTCGCGGCTCCGGTTGGAGAAGGCGGGAACACGTTCGGGCCAAACTTGAGATACTGTACGTCTTATATCTTGATGATAGCGTAAATGGGACGTCTGGAGCACCGTCGCCATGTTCTTGCCAGAGGAACACAATTGGAGTTACAACTCATTTCATGTCAGGCCGAGATTGAGAAGGTTGCGGTAATGTGGTCAGTGTCAGAGGGTGCCTGCACAACTGGGTTAAGAAGGAGTATTACAGACACAGTACACAGACTATACACCATGCCTTGGTTTTATTCCTGACTTAAACGCACGTTATGGTTTGCGAGGGCCGACAAATAGCTCTTTGCAGCCGCCAATGTGATAGGACTGAGGGTCGATGGGTGTACAAGGTGGCTCAGTGGAGCCTATGCGCGGATGGGCTTTGGGCCAACATGGGGATGAGTTGGCCTCTATCTGTACATAAATACGGCCAAGTTCCAATGTCAACTTGGGACAGAATGAACATTGGCCATTGCCTTTCTTTGCTTTACATTGAAGCCCTTTTTCAATAGGCATGTATCACCACCATCCCCACTTCATGTTATGCAGTGTACGGCCCACCCCTTGAGAAACATCACACAGTTTGCACCCAGTTGCCAGAAAATTACCCTTCCACTAAGAGAAGGCACCTGGATTGTACGTGGAAGATCAACTTCCTTTTGCTGGTTCGCCAGGAATGCGCCGGCATCCTGTAAGACTATCCATCCTATGGTCCTTTATATTCGGGAATCGGAACGGGTTCATTCAACACCCGGACTCCACGAGTCCTTCCCATCGCAAGTCCTTCTCCCCGGGTCCGGCGGTCCGGCGGTCCGGTCCGAGGTGGCGGCGCAGCTCCGGGCGGAGGAGCAGCGCCGCGCGGAGGCGAATAGACGGGGGCCCGGGGAGCGGGTCGAGCGGATGGGCGAATCGGTTTTTTCTTCCTGTGCGATGGGTTTAACGGTTTACCAGGCGGTTTGGCCCAGAAGAAATCTCAAAGATGAGGGGCTTGAGTATATGTCCACTGCTTGAGTCTTCGCCAGAACCAGTGTCCGTTCCAGCTTCTATTGGAATGCGTTGGGGTTTGGCCCACCTTTCTGGCTGCAGGTGGGCTGGAAATGCTGGAAGGGCGGCATCTTCCTGTTGGAGTCCTTCAGTTGGACCGATTTTCTTGAGGCGTAAGGAGATCAGTCTCCTTCCAGTCCCGGTTTCCTCAAGAAACCACTCGCAACTCACGCCTGCCAAAATCCCCGGCCTGGTTTCGGGTTGCCCCAAACTTGTCTTTTTCTGCTTCCTCCGAGCACCAAAAAGGGGGCGACGAGAGGTTCTTTGGGACTCCGCTGTATGGACACTGCGCCCACGGTTGTCTCGCACATGTTTCTGCCCGCGGTTCTCTCTCTCTCTCTCTCTCTCTCTCTCTCTCTTTTTCTTGAAGATGTTTCTCTTTATGTTTATCTTTCTCCTTCGTATCTTTGAATCTTTGTCATCTTTCTCTTTGTATTTCTCTTTCTCATGTTATTTATGTGTTTTCTTGCCCTTTCTCTTTGTGCTGGCGTCCCTTTCTTTTTCTCTTTCTCTTTCCCTTTGTTGTTTCTTGTTGTTTTATTTTTATTGTCTTCATCTCTCTCTCTTTCTCTCTCTTTCTCATTCTTTTTCGCTGTCCTTCTCTTTCTCTGACTTTCTCTTTCCGCTTTATCTGTCTGTTTTTCTTATTGCTGAGTCACTCCCTTTCTCTGACTTTGTCTCTTCGTTCTTTTCTTCTTTCTCTTTCTCGGTCGGTTCTCGTTTGTATGTTTTTCTCGCTCTCTCTCTCCCCTTCCCTCGCGAAAGTGAGCAATGCGAAAAGCCACGAGTTGTGAAAGGTCGACCCACCGAAAGTCGGCAGAGGGCCCACCGTTTGATTGTTGCTAGACACGCAATACAAAAACAATTTGGTTTTTGAGGTCCAACCTTCCAAATTACGCAGAAGGTTGCGAGAGCGCAGTGGAAACTGTCAGAGGGTTCACTTTCTGAAGGTTGCGAAACAGTACAGAGACAAAGGTGGTTTGCACATTTTGCGATTCATGCACAGGGCCAACGTTTTCTGCCTCTTGCTACTCTCCAGTCCTCGCGTTTTCCAGCTTTTCCTTAGCTTTTCATACGAAGTGCATCTATTTTGAAAGATCATGCGCAAGTGCTTGTAGTTTTAGTACTTCACCCAGAGCTTTCCCCTTTCTGTGCAGTTTTGAGTATACTGGGTGAAAGTAGCTGGCGCATGTGTCTCATTCTAGTTTTGTTATCCGGACAAGCGGAAGTTGTGACCATCTACCTGGGCCTCAAGCTCCGGTGAAAGACACCACGGGCAGTTAATCTTTCATCTACAAAGAACGGTGACATGGGTATGGGTCAAATTTAACCACCAGGGGACCGCAGGCTTTGGTCCTTGTTTCCATTTACCAGGGTTCCATTTTGGGTATCTGTTTTTGACCCACACCCACATGGTGTCGCCAAAAAACATCACGAGGGAGTGGTATCCCCTCACCAAAATCCAACGTCGGTTGGTAGCACAATAGATATAGAGGTTTGCCTTTTTGAGGGTACCTTTTCACCTGGGCTTAGGAAACCAAGAAACATGTGGACCGTGGCTACAATGAGAACGCGGCAGGTCATGCGGCGCGCCTTTGAGGCCGGCGAAGAACGATGCGGTTGTGGGGTGGTTTTGAAACGGGAAGGCCAAGGGAAAGTCCACCATTTGGTTTGTTGAAAGACATCCAGAGTTGCTAGTAGTCAAGCCGATTGGTCAATGGGACATGGCTCATGGTTGAAAGACTGGAGCTCTCCTTTATTTCGCTCTTCCAATGCCTTCAAGATCAAAAGGCCAAGCCTGGCCCATCCGAGCTTCAGGAGATGGACCGCTGGTGGGCTGAGCACCACATGCTGGGAGCTCAGCTCTTTCTGCGAAGCTTACGTCGAAACGCGAAAGGAAAGACGTGGGTGGGTCTCAAAGCGCCAACGCGGGGAGGCTCATGTGGCCTTTCAGGGCTTGACACTCAGCATGGGGATGTCCTAGGTGGCCGCCCACCTGGATGGTGAGGTGCATCTTCATAACCCTGGGTTTGAGACCATAGCCAGTCCAATGGATTGTCATTGAAACCTTTGGTGTTTTGGGCTCGCCGTCAAGCAGGCAGTGCCTTTGCCTCAGGTTTCTGCCAGAGCATATCCATTTCTACTAGGGCTATTTGGAACTTTCCAGCCACGGCGCCAACCATGTGGCTTTGTGTTTGTTTTGAGGGTGCCCTTTTTAGAGGTGGGTTTAAAGGGAAGCCACCAGGAACTCCAACAACTTTTATGGTGGTTGTAGCGCCGTTTGGAAGGTGGTGTTGAACATATCGGACCCTTGTGGCAAGCCCTCTTGTGTTGCAAAGGTCCCGAAGAAAAAAAAGAAAGACAGAAAAGAGAAAGCCGCCTTTGTGAAGCTGCAAGTATTCTCCATGGATGTAGGTCCGAGGTTGGCCATTTGCTTATTTTTGGACAAGAGGCGCCGCCCAAATTTGCCACTACCGAATTCTCGCGTGGGTAGGACATAGGGGGGAACAAACCCCAAGTGGGGGGACGGGCCCCAATTTTCGCTGTTTCCTGGGGGATTTGCCCAACTTGGAAACAACCAATTTCGACAGAAAGTTCGGGGCCTCCTCTCCCCCCTCCGCCAAACAAACAGGTAAATCCCACCGACCCCCGAAAACGCTTTCCCTGGTGGGGTGATGCTCAAGGGGGAATGTAGGGATGTTCCAATCAGTCCGCAATTGCAGAATGGTCGTTCTTTCGCGCTGCCATGATCTCCCATTCAACGGGGTCCCCAAAAGCGGCCAGAAGGGCTCAGCCAATTTTGGTGGCGCATCCGTTCGAGGCTGTACCCTTCGCGGCACATCCGCCTCTTTGCCCAGCGAGGGGCTAAGCGAGAGAGAGCCCAGTGGGGGTAGGCCTGGGGCCCCGAGCCGTCCAGTTTGACCACTGGCCAGTTCAGAATTGGCTGTGGTGGTTGATCCCATGTTGGTGAATTCACCACCCATTTTAGAACCTAGTTAGGGGGGATTGGGATGTTCACTGGGCGGTAACCGGGATTTTGACCCATGGCCAATTGTGTCTCCCAAGACTCTAGGGTTTCCCTAAGAGTGCCAACTCATGGAAATGCACCGGGCTTCTAAAGGAACAAAAACCACAGAATGGTTCCGTCCATCCAGTGTAACCTGGGGTCTCCTCGAACCTCAGCCGGCAAGGCCGAAGGCTTCCATTTGAGGAGGCTGTGGGTCAAAAATAGGTACCCAACATGGAACCCTGGAAAATGGACATGGGGACTAAAGCCTGTACTCCCCTGGTTGAATTTTGACCCATAGCCAGGGGAAGCCAAAACGGAATTTTGGGCTCAACTTTTGGGTTGAACCTTGGGGTGTCTCACTTTTGGGGCAAAAGATGAAGACATTCGATCTGGTTTGGGCCCGTCTCAACTTGCTGTCTTCGAACCCAGGCCACTTAAACTCGGAGGTTGGGGGGGAGGTTCCCAACTGCGAGCTACCCTTTCACTCGCGTGCCGATTTGGTGCGATTGGTCCCCCGTCGGAATTACTGAATGTGTTAATATCAACTCATAAATAGGCCGGGCTATGCCCGTGAAGGCTTCAACCTTCCAATCCATCCAATAACTGTTCTGTTTTGAAGCCGAAACAAAGAAGAGCCATAGGCCATAGCTGTTTAGCTTAGTTTGCTTATGAATAGATGGCTTCCACTGGCTTTCACCAGCCTTGCGCGCCTGCGGGCTCGGCTTCCATCCGGAGGACGGAGTGCTGCGTCTTTCTGCCCGTGGCCAACTTTGTGGCGCCGCGCTCAGCCCTCCGCCACCCTCTGGCGCCGGGCGAGCGATCCCTTTGCTCCCTTCTTTTTGTGGGAGGGGAGTTGGAACCCTTTAAAGCGTTCAACCACCACGAACGGTTGCCTTCCTAATTCTTTTCTCTCTTGGTTTGAGTGGGTGCCAACAATCAGGCAGTTTTTTTTCTCGATTTTGGGCTCGGAAGGTTTACATTTCAAGGTTCACTGTGTGTGTGTGTGTGTGTGTGTTTTTGTTTGTTTGTTTGTTTGTGTCTGTTGGGGGGGGACCCAGCCTTGGTTTTGAAGGGAAACCAACAGGACCCTCTCGGAATTTCGGGGGGCTCCCCCGTTTCAAGACAAACCCAGCTGTGATTGTGGCTTGCTTCATTTTTGTTCTGACCTTTGCTCTTACTTTGAGCTTTCTGAGGACCCCCCCCCCCCAACCGGGAAGTCCCCCCCTTTTCCGCATTCCTGGCCCCTGATGGAAGCTTCCCTGCTGCTTTTTGCTCATTTGTGAACTTTGCCAGCGGCCGGAAAGCTATTTTTCAGGGATCCGTTGGTGGATGGATCCTTTGAAAACCGGGTGGGGCGGGCTTGTCAAAATCGCTTCCCCCCCTTTTGGGACCCAAATGTGATTCGCTGCCTTTGCTTTGGAGGGTCCAACGAGGGTCCATCATTTAAACCTCAGTGTGAGCTGGCCATGAAGTTTCATAGGAAGCCACGTCAAACGTGGCGGGTTGCATACGTCCAAAGTGTCCAACCATCCACGCTCAAGGGCTTTGGAGGGCCCTTGAATATTTCCGTGATTCACTTGACATCCGAAATTCAGGTAGGTGAAGAAATGGCCGCAACCGGACAGTTCAGATGCTTGTGTTTGAAGTATTCTGAAAAACATGGCTTTGGCTACACCTTATTATGTTTCTTAATTATATAACCATTTCCTGTGATTATCGTGATTCGAATCATTTTTTGTTTGCCCATTTTGTTTAGCTACTTGTACAAGTCGACAGGGGTGCACCCCGATCCGAAGAAACCCAGCAGGTCCCGCTGCATGCGGGGCGCCAGCTGGATGGGCCCAGCCACGCGCTACGCACGGGGCCCGGTGTGTTGGTGTGTGGGTTGGTTTACGTGCCTCAATTTGCAGAGGCCTTCTGGCAGCTGCCAGGTTAGTCTGCGGGAGGGTATCAAAGTCATCTTTGAATCTGTGGTTGCCCTTTATCCTACCACCTTCCATTTGCTGAAGCACATATTTTGTTATTGTCCCCTGTTGGTGTTGAATTTAACGGGACACGATTTCACTACTGGACATGTTTTGTCATTTTTTCCAGGGGGTGAAAAAGCAAATGGACGTTTATGCACTGGGTTTATTTGAACATGTAAGTATGCGTTTCTTCAATTGTCAACATCCATAGAAGCTGGAAGGACACTTGCACATGTTTGTTTGATATTTCAAGGTTTAACAGGGCAAAAGCTGAGGTAGTTTGGTTGAACACAGATGGTACTGCAAGTTGCTTCTCATCATCGACCAGTCTAATGAACCTGTTTGTTCCAAAAGCACACCCTAACAAGAGATTGGTTCTGGGTGCTTTTGCTTTTTGATCCCGTGGCTCAAGCCTTGTGACTTCGGGCAAATGGGGCAAAGGCGCGCTAGTCGTCTCGTTGGCCAAAGGCCAGCAGGCTTTCCACGCCCGCGACAAGTTTGAGCACAGATGGTTTTAGCTAAGCACCGCCGGAAGGGCATGGTGTCTTTTGCCGGCGAAGCTGGTTATTTCCCTACTGTTTATTGGGGTGAGTTGACAACTGAAGTTCTCAAGCATGCCCGAACGGCGCGAGGCTTTCCCCAAAAGCACTTTGGATCCACCCGCATGGGCGTAAACATATGAGTGTGCTTTGTCTTGGGGGTACCCTGTTTTGAGGAAGCCAAACCGGAACCAACCATTTATGGACCCTATAAAAACAACAACTTGTTTTATGTTTGTTTTTTTCCCCCCCTCAGCATGGCCTTCAGTGCGATCACGACCAGCACGATGCTTTACGCTTTGTTCGGCGCTGTGAGGCTTCGTTTCTTTGATCCCGTTGGAGCCAGTCAGTGCGAAGGAGGCCGCCCGCGTCCAACGACTCTGAGATTTTCTGGACCCTTTTTTTCTCTTACTTTTTTTTGGGTCAGAAGCCAAACAACTCGTTCGTGCTGCTTTGCTGAGTAGGAGGTTTGGGAAGAGCTTTGCCAGGCGTCTTCTGCTGAGCCGCGCACGGGCGCCTGGATTGTCAGTTCAGTCGCTCAAGTGTCTTGCAAGGTTGCAACTGACCCAGTTGCCTAATGGGCAAGGCGTTGCTTCTGCTTGCAGAACACTGTGTTGGCGGCTACACCCTCTGGGTGGCGGCTGAAAACACAAGCAATCATGGAGGTTCGAATCCTCCCTGGGTCGTTTTGTTGTTTTTGTTTGCTTTTTTCAGTGAGCGTTTGGGCTGGTCTGCAAGCTTGTTGACTGAGGCTGGCACACTTTCCCAACTTTATGGGCGCGAGGCGTGGAGAAGTTGGCAGCTAGAGTTCCATTCAAATAGGAACGGATCAGAAAGTACGACAAAGTTCTGAGACCTTAGGTCACACTTGTTAGTAAACCTGACGGACTCTTTGAGCGGAGGAAGCGCTACGTGCGAAGAGCGCGCGCTGCTTCTCTGCTCACTTCTTCTTGGCGAGGGGCCCGAGCAAGTCTCGCAGTGAAACGCTCTGAGGTCAGACCCAATTTTTCACCCCCTCTGTGCCCATTACCCAAAAGGTAGAACGATGTTTTGAGGTTGGAAAAAGAGGGTCCCGCTTCCCCGAGGGTGGCGGCTTTTGCTGTGCTGTTAGCAGATGTTAGCAGTGCCTCAGGGCCCTTGCGGCCCTTGCCATTCCTGAACTCGACAGCGGCCTTCTGGATGTCTTCTGCACTGGGCGTAAACCTCATTGATACCAGAACAAACTTCTTTGAGAGCAAGTTTCTTTGGTCCGCGTCTGACGCGGACCAGTTTGCATCCATGGCCGTTTCGACAAAGGCACAGTTGTAGACAAAAACATGTTTTGACAAGTAGAACCGAAGCTGCTGTGTTCTGGCAGCTAGGGTTTGATGTTACAGCAACTTTGGTCTTTGAACCAAAATTGTCGAAGGTTTGCCAGTCAATTTAGAAGGACATCATGGTCTCACCAGAGCCATCAGCGTGAAGCACGGAAAGCCAGCTGTTGGCTTTAACTTTTGACATGAACCAGGGGAACCACCACTTCAAGGAAAGGTGATGTTTCAATCATCAGGGTTCTTTCCACCATTCGTTCCACCACCCTTCTTGCCACCGGTAAGGGTCTGACCCTCGCACCCGGGCTCTTTGCATCCGGCTTGCTGCCCTAGACTCGGGCCAAAGAATCCAATCCAAATGGATGGGTGAGTCCTAGGCAGGCACCTCTTGGCAATGCTCAGTGCTTGGCGCTGTGTCATGCATCGGCTTGTTCCCGCCCAATTCATGCTTTGTGGATGCCCCTAAACATGAGTCGCTTGAGGCGCCTCATAAACGAAGCGCCTGTCTTTGTGTCAAAATAGGGGGTTTGCACACCCCCCAAATGTGTGGCTTCCTTGTGCTTTTCCTTTAAACCAACCCTGAAAAAAGGGCACCCATAAACGCTGTGATTGACTTTTGAGGCCACCTTTTCGGGCTTGGGTTTCGGGAAAAGCTGGGGCCCCAAGGCTACTCGCTGGATGCCTGGTGCTGCCTGGGTACGGACGAGCGGAACCAGGCGCACGCCAGGCCCTCAAAATTCCGCGGCTCCCGTGCCTTCCTGTCACACACTTAGCTGGGGTGAATGGGGGGTGTCCTCTTTCTTTCTTTCTTTCTTTCTTTCTTTCTTTCTAGTCTCTTTGGAGTTGGTTTGAAGGGAAACCACAGGGAAACCACCAATGATTGCCTTTGTTTTTAAGTTACTTTTTTGGGGGTCCCCTGTTTTGAGACAAACCCAAACGGGTATCAGTCTCTTTAGGGGTTATTGTTTGGCGCGTGTAGGTATGAGTCATTTTGTTCCTTTAAACACCAACCCGGGAAAGAGGATAAGCTTTAACCCTGACGTTTTTCTTTTTCTTTTTGAGAGTTCCATTTTTTAAAGCCAAGCCAAAAGGAAAACACAACGTGATAAGGACACAGCGAGTGGACAGACAGTCAAGATGCCCAGGCCGGAATCAAATTAGCATGACGCAGAGTCGCACAGACAGAACAACTGTAAAGCATGCTTCACCCAACACTTTTTTAGGGGTTGCTCAGATATGAACCAAGGGGTGGTACACAGGTGATGTGCCCTTGGCAACATGGATTAAGCACAACTCATGGTACGCTGGATTGATTGCTTCTTTCTGAACTAATGACCATTCCGCAGTGGTGCGCCTCATATTTATGTACAACCTCGCGTTTGGCTACACATAAACTTTAGAGCCTCCGGCTCAGTCCGCCGACATTGTCCTCCCCCTTTTCTCCTTCTTCCTCTCTCTTTTGTGTCCCTTGTGTGTTCTGTGGTCCTCTCTCCCTCCCTCTGCTCCCCATCCTCCCCATCCCCCCAAGCCTCTCTCTCCCCAATCTCCCTCTCTTCTATGTATGTATGTATGTATGTATGTATGTATGTATGTATGTATGTATGTATGTATGTAT